ATCTGGCCACCCTGCACACGCCACATCACACACACTCACACACCCCCGCCGCCCCAAAACACATACACCCTCTCTATGACACCACACACACACACAGCCCCACCTCGCAGTACAGCGCCACGCAGGCGCGCAGGCGGCGGCGGTCCCGCGCCAGGCGCAGCGCCGACACCGGGTCGTACAGCGGGCGGCCGGAGGGGCCGCGGGCGGCTGCCAGGTAGTCGAGCAGCTCCTGCTCCTGCGGGGAGGCGGCGGGAAGGTGGCGGGAAGGTGGCAGGAAGGTGGCAGCAAGGTGAGTGCAAAGGGAGAGGGAGATAGTTTAAACAAAGGCAAATGGGCGGGCGAGCGGTGCTTGGTGCCTGCCCCGGGCAGGTGGCATGGAGGGATGGCGGCTGGCGCCGCTGGTGCACCCCACACACCAGCCCCCGCATGGCCCCCGCACCACCCGAGCCTACCTGCGCCTCCTCCTGCGACAGCAGCGCCACCGCCAGGTTGTGCACCGCCGGGTCCTGGCTGTCCAGGCGGTACAGGCAGTACCGCACGTACTTGAGCGCCTCGTCCCGCCCGGCCGCCGCGCCGCCGCCGCCGCCGCCCTCCCCAAAGTGCAGCAGCGCGGGCAGCAGGCGCCTGCGGGGCGGCGGCAGGCAGGTGGCAGGCAGAGCCGGGGGTGTGAGGAGAAGCAGGTGGCGGGGGCTCAGGGCGGGCTCGGCACATGCGCACCCCCCACCACCACACAGCCTCCCTGCCACTCCAGGCAGCGCATCCCTTCCCTGCCCACCACCGCCACCAGCACCAGCACCGCCACACACACAGCCCAGCTGCACGCAAGCAGAGGCGCGCCTGGGCTCCAGCGGCGGCTGCGCGTCCACCCAGGCCTGCACCGTCAGCTGCGGGGCAGCCGCCACCAGCGCAGGCGCAAACTTGTAGTGGAGCTCAGGGGAGACGGAGGGGCGGCGCAGCACCTCCAGCGCGCGCTCGGCCTGTGGGAGGGGGAAGGTGTGGGGTGGGGGAGGTGGCGGAGCGGCTGGGATCGTGTGGGGTAGTGGGCGGGCGGCAGGCATGCGGCTGGGTTGGGTGGCGGGGAATCCTCAAGCCAGCACCAGGCAATCAGCACCAGAACCAGAGGCAGCAGAAACGCCAGCAGCAGCGCCACAGGCAGCGCCAGGCAGGCAGGCAGGCAGGCAGGCAGGCAGGCAGGCAGGCAGGCAGGCAGCCAGCAAGCCAGCCAGCCAGCCAGCCAGCCAGCACAAGCAGCCAGCCAGCCCACCTCCCCCCGCTGCAGCAGGTACTCCAGCAGGCCCTCCCAGTCGCCCCGGCATCGCGCGTAGTGCTGCAGCTCGTCCAGGCGCCCGTCCCCGCCAGCA